ATATTCGCTCGTTTGTGCATTTTCTTACCTGTTACGCTGAATTGTGATCAATCGTGTCCTATGCAGCTCTCTTCCCCCTCCTAGCTCCAAAATGGCGCCAATAAGTGTAGATTCAGTGCCCATGGGTGAAAACCATCAGTGAGTGTGTAGCGCCACCTATAGGGCGAGTATATAGTATATTTTCACTGAATGATTCATTTGAACGATTATTCACTTTTCATCATCGGTGGAAGACGTATTCAGATGATTTTTCTTGAGTAAAATAACTAGTACATTATTGTCAAAATACTTCATTACAAGTTAAAGTTCTGTATTCAAAATCTTACTGAATTAAAGTTACAAAAGTATGATCAGCCACATTGAGCTATAGGTTAAAAAGTAATCATTGTGCAGAAAAATGGCCTTTATGTGAGTAGGCTATGTAATTATATTTAATTTGTAAGGTAGCCTATATTGTTTCATCAAGTGAATTGACTTTGTAGACACATAAAGTTCAGCTTTATTATTATTTAAATATGTAAATAATTTGACATTTTGTTACCAAAAGAGTTAGTCCAATAGTTTAATTTTCATTGCAGGCTTTTTTCAGTTGCTGCTGTAGCCTTTACTTTTTCCTATTCCTTGCCCTACCAATCTACTCATTCATTATGCAACAACATGTTCTTCCTGGAGGTAGTTTACATTAACTGTGTTTACAATTGTCACTTTAGGGAACCAATTGCTTGTTTTCCCAGTTCTTATACAAATCCACATGATTTTAAGCCACTGAGCCTAAATCTTGTAATATCTTGTTATACTAATTAACTGAATATCATACTAAAAGATCAAATATCTCAAAGATCAGCTGCCCGCTTTTTATTTTTTATGTTGGATCTCTCCCAACATGACCTATAGGGGGAGCTCTAATATAATGTTTTAGATTTCCACCTTTAAAACCTGAAGAACTAAAAATCGAATAGCTGTGCTTGACATAATAATTGTTACATTAGTTTAAGGTAAAGCCAGATTACGCACGACGTTTTCTGAATGAGGTTTTAACTCAATAACAATGGATTTAATTGAATTTCAGTATGAACCAAGATTAATTGCGTCACATGTGATCATGTGATTAAAATAATCTGAATTAAATCCGATTACGTGAAATTACAACTGCATCTTTATCATCGATATGCAGTTGTAATTTATATGATATAAATCTTATTGATACCAATCTTATTGCATTTTAACAACAACATATTGCTTTTATTAATTATTTAAGATATGTTGTCTTTGTTATTGTCAGTTATCACATAACAGTATAAACCTATAGCTATAGAATGCTATATCTGAATAGCAGCTCAATTAGAGGACGCACAGACCTGCTCTCAATCAACCAATTAGTGCTGCAAATTGACAACTGCTTAAATCCCAGCAGAGAGAGTTAGGTTTCAAGGCTCCAGGATGGAGGGGTTCCTGCCTGCGTTTCACCCGTACTCTGTGTGCGCTGCCCCGGCTCCGGACATCGGCTGGGGGAAGAGAGATGGTCGCTTCATGGTCCCTCAGGGCCTCAATTACCTGGAGCTGTGCAAAGCCATCCTGGCCCAGGTTCACCCCAGTGTACCATTCCCACTGAGGAAAGCCATCACCAAAGAGTGCGGCGTGCAGGTGAATGCCAAAGTGGATAAAACCGTGCAGTGCTCGCTGGGTCCTAAAACGCTGTTCTGCTCAGAGGGAGTCCCCCTGTCCTCAAAGTCCCCTAAGAGCCCGGGGCTGGTTAAAGCAGAGGGGAAGGCCCCGTACTGCACTACACCAGTGACCCACATGCGCTTCCTGCGGCCTGTGTCCATCTACTCCCCCGTGTTTGACCGCAGGATCTCCAGGAAGAAACTCAGCTATACGGATGAAAGTGAAGGAGAAGCCGAAGAATCCGTGGATCACGTTGAGTCAGGGCATGAATGTGAGAAGGTCGACAGTGGCGAAGAGGACACCGGGAAGGACTTCAAGACAACTTTCCACAGGTCTACTAAGGGGTCCAGCTTTCAGGTGAGTTGTTTCTGTCTGAGGAAACACGGAGGAGACCGACTCTCTCTCTGGATTCGTCCTCTTTTCCTATGTGTAGGCCTTATTCCACACTAATGAATAAATGATATGGTATTTAGTTTTAATTGGCCTACATTCATTTAGATACATTTTAAGCATACATAAAAATGACATAAAAGATCTCAAGGACATGCAGAACTTCATATCAGGTTATGACTTAGGTCCTTATCATATTCTTAAGAAATTCATGGATATATTTCATTAAAAGGCACAGGCAGTGTTAATTATATTTTGGAGCCTTGTATCTGTTTAGGTATTTCATTTAGTTTGCCATTTAGATAGACCTGCCTTAATCATAACATCATTGTGTGAAGGGCCTCTGCATAACTGATCTCTGAATCTGTTTTTTATTCAAGTTCCTGGAGCAGAGGTATGGCTTTTTCCACTGCAAAAAATGCAACATCCGGTGGGAGAGTGCATATGTTTGGTGCATCTCTGGAACCAGTAAGGTGAGTGTTTTTTGTTAACTGTAATCCATGGTTTAAAAATATGTTGGGCTTTTCATAATGTGTAGTTTCTATTTTATTTATTTATTGCACGTTTGGTCTTCTCAGGTGTACTACAAGCAGCTTTGCCGGAAGTGTCAGGTTGGGTTTAACCCCTACAGGGTGGAGCCCATCCTCTGCAAGGTGCATTTACTTCTCTTGCTCTAGGTTTTAAAACCTTAGCATCCTTGAACATGGGTCAAAAACCTTCTATTGATTGCTGACTGTTAGAATTCACTTTAACCGTTTCCTCCTCTGGTTTTAGGACTGCTCTCAGACTACCTGCAACTGTGAGAAGAAGCAGCGGCACATTAACATGAAGAGGCCTCACCGCCAAGACCTGTGTTGTCGCTGCAAGGGCTCGAGGTTATCCTGCGACGCCACCTACAGCTTCAAATACATCGTCTGAGCTGCCCTGCATGTTCGCTCGGGTTTGGAAGCTCCCATTCCTCAGCAGACATTCAGTACATACCACAAAAGGAAGTTGACTCTCGTAAAGGACTTTAAGATCTTTTGGTGGTTTATTTGAAGCAATCTCAAAAACACCATCTTTGTTTCCCCTAATTATCCTGGAGTGTAACTTAAACTATTTTAGTAAGGAAAAATGAAATAAATGTATTGCATATCAAAAAATGTGTAATGTCTTTTTGCATTAATTGAAATCTTTCTAACGGCTCACACTCACTAGATCTTTAAATAGACTTGATCACAGATAACATGTACTCTAGTGTCAATAACAGTCCATTTCAAATGTAAAAATAGATGCAACTCTAAAGACTTGAAGTAAAATGCACAAGAAATAATTTGATATGTCTTTTACTTTGACAGACTTGTACAGAGCATCAACTCAAAACCAACTCTAAAGACTTGAGTAAAAATGCACAAGAAATAATTTGATATGCGTTTTACTTTGACAGACTTGTACAAGAGCATCAACTCAAAACAACTTCACAAAGGCTGTAAAACTATTTACAAGGTGAACAAAAACTAAGTCTTCTCTAAAAAAAGCTCTAAAAAATGTGCAACTTCTTGTTTGGCATGCACACACGCTCTCCACACACAGGAAATGAAAAACATACCCGCATGAGCTTAGAGCTCCCTTTTGCACCTCATACCAAACGTATCCTTCGATAAAATGTTTTTTTTTTTTTTGGTAAATAAATATTCCAAACCACTTCCAGTAACACTGAAGATCATGCATGCAGTGGTTTAAGAGGACAGACAAATATGCAGAGTGATTTAGCGACAGAAAGGAAACATTGACAGCACGGGCTGACGACAGAAGTGACTTCAACACGGACGGTGAACGTCAAATGATTGCCGAATGTCAGCATTTCCTATGGTGTAAGGTAACTACAAACATAAGCTAACAAGAGAATGTGCCCTAAGTATTTAATCGTAAACAGACAGACAAATATTTGGTGTTCATGCAAATCCGCTTGGCCATGTGAACCCATAAAGGCAACCGTATTACAGGTGTACACTCACTAATGATGCTACAACTCGCCACAGAGGATTCACAGCTAACGGCATGATAGTCTAACCAAATGTTTCAACAGTAGACAGGGTTCACCGATACGAGCAAGATCACATGGAGAATGAACTTAATACTCTGAATCTTCCAGTTTCCAGTCAGTCTGGAGGTCAGCACTTTATGGAAGCAAAAGGGACACCAGTACGTAGAAAGCAGCAACTAGGTCATATGCATTGCACAAATTGTCTCAATAAACAGTAAGACACAGCAGGAAGAGAGAAGATAATCCAATGTCTTTCCTTTCAGTGACAGGAAGCCTTTTCTCTCCATAGTAACAAAAAAAACCTCTTTCTGTA